AACGAGAAAGATACGTGTAGAATAAAGAATTCCCTCAAAATGTGCTAAAGGAAGAGATATGAACAGAATATTGTGTGAGCATAGAAAAAAAAGCTAGAGGGACATCTGGGTGGCTCAGTCGGTTAAGCATCCGACTTCAGCTCAGGTCATGATCTCACGGCTTGTGGTTTTCACGCCCCTGCGTCAGGCTCTGTGCTGACAGCTCAGAGCCTGGATTCTGCTTTGGATTCTGTGTCTCCCTCTCTCTCTGCCCCTCTGCTACTCATGCTTGCTCTCTCTCCAAAACAAACAAACATTAAAAAAAAAAAAAGTGCTATAAACACACACACACATGCACACACGCGCACACACGGGCGTGTACACACCCCTTCCTGCCCCTACTCACACACACACATCTGTCATTTGCATGATGGTCTTATTTCATCTTCACAGCAGGATTATTAGGCATATACTATTGGGAGCATAGCCTCTGGAAACAAATTAGGTTCAAATTTAAAACTTTGCTACTTCTAGCCAAGTGGTTTTTGGATAAGTTACTTAACTTCTCTGAGCCTCGGTTTTGTTTCTTGCTAAACATGGATAATACTACTTATACATCATACGATCAGTGGAAAGTCTATACTAATAGCCTCGGACACATAGGAAATGATATGCAAATATTTGTTATTGTGTCTTCCCATTTTCCAGAAGGGTAAACTGAGGAACAAAGAGGTTGAGTGATTTTGTCCAGGTCACACTGGTAGAAAAAGATAGACACACAACTTAATTTCAGCTCTGACTCTAAAATCTGGGCCTTTACCACTGCTATTATAGTGCTTCTCCGTAATAAGGGCCTGTGGAATTCATTAGTAAAATCACAGTAGAATTTCTTTACCCTTTCCAATAATACTTAATATTTTTAAAATTGTTATTTAATTGCCCGGCTAGCTCAGTCGGTAGAGCATGAGACTCTTAAAAATTGTTATTTGTGGGTTGTTTATTGGCAGATCCTAAAGGTCTCCTGTACTGCCTGAGTTCTGCAAGAGCCTTATTTGAATTCATTATATTAATATATTCCCATCTCATACTTTGTCTTTTGAAGTCAAGTTCACTTTTGTTATTGAAATAATTATATTCATGGCTTTAAGAGTAGAAGCCTAAGCAAAGCTTTTACTAGTTATCTATATAAAAATATTCAGGAAAAGAATAGTACTTTTATTTATTTTCAACTTAAAAAAATTTTTTTATTTTTCAGATACAGAGACAGAGCATGAGCAGGGGAGGGGCAGAGAGTGAGGGAGACAGAATCCAAAGCAGGATCCAGGCTCTGAGCAGTCAGCACAGACCCCAATGTGGGGCTTAAACCCATAGACGATGAGATGGTGACCGGAGCCAAAGTCAGATGCTTAACCAACTGAGCCACCCAGGCACCTCAAAGAATAGGGCTTTTAAACACTAAATTGTAGACAAGTGATTTGTTACTATTGTATTGCTTTAAGATTATACCCCAAACAGTGATATTTTCCATGTAATTTCCATAGAGCCAGTTTATCCTACCCTTATTAGTGCTGAGTTAGGGGAAAAAAAAAAAAGCAACTACCACCACTAATACATGTATTACAGCCTTTCTTTGAAGAGTTCTAGAGGGGCATCTGGGTGCTCAGTCGGTTAAGCGTCCGATTTCAGCTCAGGTCATGATCTCATGGTCTGTGAGTTCAAGCCCCACGTTGGGCTCTGTGCTGACGGCTCAGAGCCTGGAGCCTGCTTTAGATTCTGTGTCTCCCTTTCTCTCTGCCCCTGCTCTGGTCATGCTCTCTCTCTCAAAAATAAATAAAAACATTAAATTTTTTTTTATTTAAAATGAAGAGTTCTAAAGGAAAATGCACCATCTCCTGATGCATCATGTCACCAGATTACTCCTTTGGCAGAGGAATACCACAGTAATATCTTGTTGAGAAATAAGTTACTATATTTAAAGAATTCTGTGTCAGTAAAAAGAAAAGGTTAGTATCCATTTGACTTTACATATTATTTTGAGCATCTGGAAAAGTATTTTTCATGAGTGACAATGGTGCTTCTTTGACAAGGAATTAGTGCATTTGAAATCTGATGTGTACTTAGTAAAAGTGTACTGTAGACTTGAGTCCTCACTTACGATACCCGCTCAAAAGTTCGGGGGGAAGCCTGGGGAAAGGATTCCATTTAACTGTCCATTTCTCTACTTAATTAATGGCTGCTTTCAAAAGTTAGATATTAATTTTAATGAAATGGTTTCACCTTCAGAAAAGAAATGGTAGCATTTGATTCTAACAACACGCTACTTTATATAAATTGTTTTGAAACCTCACAACCACAGCAGCTGCCGGGGTAATCACAGTGTTTAAATGACAGAATAGTATTCCAACTCAGATCCCCTTGGTTTCGGCTATTGCCCCATATTTCCTGGGTCTAGTTCTGACCGAATAACATGTTATATCAGCCCAAAGCACCTAATTCCCAAAGGAGATACTTAGCACTTTCTGCCCCCACTGCAGTAGCTTAGAAAGTCATGTATGCCAGATTGTACTGCTATAAAGTAGGGGGGCTTCTGTCACCTTGGGTCCTTGGGTAACTGTGTGAAGCAGAGCCTCCTCTACTGATCTGTGTTTGACATGTAATGTGATAAAAGGCTACTGAGATCTGGAGATTGTTTATTACCACTGTATCGAAGTCCGATTTAAACACCATTGTCTTTTAGTATTCTCCAAGTAGATTACCTTTTGCTCATTGGTTTATAGAAACTCTTTGTTTGTTAAGGAGATTGATATGGCATCTGATACATATGTGCAAATCTTTTTCTTCCTGCCTATGATTTTGCTTACATTTTATTTTGCTGAACAGAAATATTTTTGCTGATGCTGTATGTTTCTGAACAGGAATTTGAAAGATTTACAGAGCCAAACTTGTCAGATATTTTCCTCTATGGCTTCTCGTTTATCTGTCATCATAGAAAGGATCTCCCATTTGGAAAATTATTCCCATTGTTATTTACTGAATAGGCTATCATTGTGCCCTGTTCCTGGCAGAAAAGTGATTTTTATCAATACTAAAGCCATATATATGGATTTATATGTATATATACATACATATATGTGTATATATATATCTGTAATCTTAATATATATATAATATATATATAAAGGTGATTTTTATCAATACTAAATCCACATATATGGATTTATATGTATCTATATATACATACATATGTGTGTATATATATATCTGTACTCTTAATATTTTTCTATTTTAATGCCCATACCATACTAATTTATTACTGCTTTTTAATATATGTCCTGATATATGATGGAACCAATCCTTCTCCATTTTTTTTTTACTCTCAAATATTATTGGCATGCATACGCATTCATTCTTCCAGATAAAGTTTACTATTTGTTAGTTTCCAGAAAGGAAAATGTGTTGGGATTCTAAATGAGATACTAAACGTATATATTAATATGGGGAGCATTAAAATCTGTATATTGCTGGGTTTCCATCAAGGAAAATGGTGTGCATCTTCACTAATTCGGATCTCATTAAAATTTTATCGTTTTTCCTGTTTCCCATTAAATCAATTTCTAAGTATTTTATGATTTGTGTTGCTATTGGGAACATATTGTCTTGTGGCAACACAAAATAGATACACTTCAAAGAACTGTCTGAAAATGTGATTTAAACTCATTCCTGTTCGGTAATTACCTAGAGTGTAGATGAGAGAGACATTATACACAAATGTTTCAAAGATGAAAAAAGGGGGAGAGGGGGTCACCCTTGGCCGGTACCAGGCTGGAAAATGTAACATCTACCTGGACCACGGCACAGTGACTCTGAATGGAACTTCTGCCTCCTTCCATTTTGATGTTAGGCCATCGCCTCCGAAAACCCTTTTCAGAATTTCCTAGGAGGTTGTTTTTCAAAGATGTTATTTTCTATATTACATTTGTCATCTGTATGAAGCTCCCAAAGAGGAATTTTCCTGGCCTTTGTTCCTCCTGAGAAACTGCTTTGTGCTTTTAGCGAGAGGACCCTATTATAAATCATGTAACTGATAGCATTTCCCTCTGCATCGTCTGCTAGAGAGCTTAGCGTCAAATTTTCACCCACTGCTAACAAATGCATGGGATTTTCATGGATGCATTTGAATTCTAAGCTTATTCCTGGCCCTGTTGAACTTTCTTTCCAACATTTACGCCTGTTTTTCATTTATTTTTATCTTGTTACATCTTCTATATCTCTGTAATCCACTTTAAATGTGTTCTGGATCAAAACAGACTTGAAAATGCTTAGATGGGTTGCATCCTATAATCTATGCTCCAGTTCATGAAAGTGCATGATAAATATAATTACCACACCATTTGATATAAAGAGCTTTATTTTGAAATAAGGAAATACAAATTCTTTGAAGTTACACATCGGTTCATACAGAATCATTTCAGCCTTAATTTCTGAAATCAAGCTGACTTTTAAAACCTTTGAGTAAAACGATTACAATAAACTTTAGACTTAAAGCCAGACTAGGATATACATACTTTATGAGAGTCATCACATTACTAGTTTGTATTTATCATTTGAAATGTGTATCTGTTACCCATTTTGTTCTCAATACTGAAAACACAATTTCTGACAAATATTTACTCTATTTGTATATTTAAAATTTTCCAAAAAAGCATTTTTAAGCTAGATAAGTTTAAAATACTATTTTCCTGACCCAGCATTAAAACGTGTAAAAGGAAATCAGAATTGTTTTTAACTGGAGGTATAGTTTCAAGTAAATAAAGACAGGACAAAAGACAAACACAGTTTATGGGAACAGGTTTTTAGAAAGATGTTTAGTTCAGTGAAGTATATTAAATGATGTTCTTAATAATAAACTCTAAAAAAATGAACAAAAAATTTTAGAAGAGAATTTGTAATACTAAAATCAATCTATAAATATTCAAAGTATCAATAGTCTTACTTCACAAAAGTGAGACTAGGTGGCTGGAGACATTAAATACCATTGAATTTATTTAGCCAAGGGCTCCCAAAGCATTCTGGGCACGAAGAATGACAGTCACAAGGCCGCGGTATCGTCCTGGGAATGGCAGCTGGGTGCTTTAACACGTGATTCCCAAAGGGCAGAGAGGCTCTTTAGGAAACAGTGCAGTGGATTAATTTTGACAATAATAAACTTTACGTGAGGGACAGCGAGCATAAGATGATCTAATCAGACTGAGCTCTTGCCAAGAGACTGAAATTAGAAACACAACCAAGTTTAATCCAAGTGTCCTCATTTCTACACAGAGAGAACATTTCTAATGCTTTAATTAAAGAAATAAAATCAATTGGTGAACTTCACAGAAAGCGTATGTAATGAACTTCTCGTGTGCACCCCTGCTTGGCCACTTGCTAGTTCAGAGGTATCTGTAAAGATCTGCCTCTCTACTTCTTAACTTCATCAGCCCCCCTGGATGGAACATGAGGTCAACTATGTAGACCTCAGGAGGTGGGAGCACCCCAATCAGTCCCTTAGGAGTTTCGTTCATCAACTTAACTTCATTCCAAGCTCTGCAGTACTCCCCACGAACCAGCGAGCAGCCGATGCCAATTTTATCAGCCAGAGCCTGTGGGAGAAAACATCCAAAGATGGACCAAAAGTGAGGAGGGAGAGGGGTAGGGGAAAAAAAATCCTGAGCTGTAAGACCCATCTCGGTGAAGGTGAAATCTACAACTCTTGCAAAGAAGTGCTTAGAAAGGAGGCTGGGAAAAAAATGTGGAATATTGTGATAGGAGCCAATAAAATGTGATAAGTTCCCTTGTTCCGCAAGATCCAGTAAACTCAAAAATCTCTGTGTAGGTCCTGCTGGGAAGTGACATTTTTCAGGCAGTTACACGGCATTGTATCCGCGCAAGATTGATAACGTCATTGGAGAAAAGCTATTCCGCGGGCTTTCGGCACTAGTGCATCTATCAATCTTCCCATGCTTCTAGGTTGCTCTGGGGGTGTGAGATGCAGTGGGATTGAAAGGAGGGATCAAATTGGCGGGGACCTATTTCTTGCCGATGTATTCTGTGTGATGGAGATGGTGCCGGGAGCAGGAGGTGCCGGTTTGGGGGGGGGGGGGCGGTCCTGCTTGGGCTGCCTGCCCGTCACTTCCTCTGAGTTGTGTTATGTTCCTTGGAAGTGGTCTCTTTCAGTTGGTCCTGGTTTTGAGGTTATTTACAAAGTACCTTTAAAATAACCTGGGGGCGCCTGGGTGGCTCGGTCAGTTGAGCGTCCAACTTCGGTGCAGGTCACGATCTCATGGTTCGTGGGTTCAAGCCCCGCATGGAGATCTGTGCTGACAGCTCAGAGCCGGGAGCCTGCTTTGGATTCTGTGTCTCCCTCTCCCTCTGCCCCGCCCCCACTCTCACTCTGTCTCTCTCTCTCTCAAAAATAAACAAACATCTAATAATAATAATAATAATCTGGAGGGGCGCCTGGGTGGCTTAGTTGGTTAAGCGTCCGACTTTCACTTAGGTCATGATCTCGCGGTTCGTGGGTTCGAGCCCCGCGTCGGACTCTGTGCTGACTGCCAGCTCAGAGCCTGGAGCCTGTTTCAGTCTGTGACTCCCTCTCTCTCTGACCCTCCCCTGCTCACGCTGTCTCTCTCTCTCTTTCCTAGAAATAAATAAAACATTTAAAAAATAATAATAATAATCTGGAAACTGGGGCACCTGAGTGGCTCAGTCGATTAAGTGTCCGACTCTTGATCAGGTCATGATCTCACGGTTCCTGGGTTCCAGCCCGGCATTGGACCCTGTGCTGACAGCTCAGAGCCTGGAGCCTGCTCCCAATTCTGTGTCTCCTCTATCTCTGCCCCTCCCCTGCTCATACTCTCGGTCTCTCTCTGTCTCTTTCAAAATAAATAAATAAACATTCAAAAATAATAATCTGGAAACTTCTTTGCCACATCATGGTGGATGGAGAGAGCTGGCTCAGACTCGCCTGAGCTTGAATTTTGGCTCAGCCACTTACCGGCTGCTGTCACCGCAAACAAAGGGCTCAGCCTCTCTGTGCTTCCATTTCTTTATCTGGGAAGTTAGGATAACAATAGGAGAATCTCCTTCTTAGCAGGTTATAAAGGTGAAGTGGATTAATACGTGTCAAGTGCTTAGGGCTGTGCATGCCACACAGAGTAGGTGCTCAACAAATGCTACTCGCACGAGGAGGCAGGAACCGTGTTGTTTTAATCACCTATTTATATATTCATGTAACGTCCTGATAACTTACTGTGTCATGACCGCACCAGGTAGTCTTGGGTGGACCAAGATGATTAAAACATGGTTGTCATTTTTAGGGTCTTACATTCTATCAAAGCTATGCCTACCTGGTACACAGTCAACTATAAAACAACAGTATCCAAACATATGGCGCTCTGTGGCATTGTCATTTATAACATGAAATATATATTTGGTCTTCATCCTTTACTGAACTCCTCAGAACTCCTAAACCCTTGGAATTTGCTAAGTGATGAGAGCCACCGAAGTGTTGTTTCTTACATTAATGAGGTGACTTTTGGACCACACCCAAGGATGGGGACGGTTTGGCCAGAGAACCAATCTTGTGACTGGAGGGTTAGAACTTTCAGTCCCGCCTCCTGACCTCTGGGGAGGAGAGGGAGTTGCAGGTCGAATCAATCACCAATGGCCAATGATTTCATCAATCACAACTATGTAATAAAGCCTCCATAAAAACCCGAAAGGAGAGGTTTTGGAGAGTTGCCGGGTGAGTGAACACACAGAGATTAGGGGAGAGTGGTGTGCCTGGAGGGGCATGGAAACTCCAAGCCTTTTCCCCACACATTTCTTTATGCATCTCTTCCATCTGGCTGTTCTTGACTTATATCCTTTTCTAATTAATAGCTGATGTAGTCAGTAAAATGTGTCCGAGTCTGGGAGCCGCTCTAACAAATGAATCAACCCTGGGTGGGGGGTGGGGGGGGTGTCCATGGGAAGCGCCAATCTGGTGGTCAGAAACACAGATGACAACCTGGGCTTGTGATTGGTGGCTGAAGTGTGTATAGCCAGGAGGGGACAATCTTGTAGGACTGAGCCCTTAACCTGTGGGATCTGACACCATTTCCAGACAGGTGGTGTCAGAACTGAGTTGAATTGACCTAGCTGAGCTCGAAGGATTACTTGAATGTGTAGAAACTGCCCACCCCAATCCCCGCCACCCCTCTCCTGATGGAATTGGTACTAGAATCATCTTATACTCATTGTCTAGTGGGGTAGAGAGTCCAAAATAAACATGATTTCCAAAATAAATTTATTGATCTCTTACTTCCATGTCAAGGCCCTCTAGATCATCACAATAATCCTGTGAAATAGATACTATTGCATTTCCCATTTTATGGCAACTAAAACCAAGATCAGATAATTTTCCCAAGGAAGGTCACAATAAGTGGTGACCTAATGTGGAAGGCAGGGGATCTGTCTCCAGAGTCTAAGTTCCTAACCTTAGGGTGATACTGCCTTCAACTGAATTGAATGAGTTCTCATGGGCAAGTCTTGAGTTTCTTTGTGAAGTGGAAAACAAGGCTGTCTGCTTAGAGGAAGAGGTAGAGATGAAAAGTGTTAGTAGGAGGAAAGACAGAAGTGGGTTGCAGCTGCTGAGGAAAAAGAGAGAAGCCTGTGACCAGGAGATGGAAATGAGTGGCCAGGCCACACAAATGTCCACCTGAGCTGGGCACCCCCGAGCCGGCTGTGGCATTCCCCCCCTGTCCTATTCCACAGCCTGAGTATCATAGTGGAAATGGCAAGCAATCAGACTGGCCCAGGGTGGGCTGGCAAGGCAGGGGAGAGGAAGGATGGGGTCAAGAAAATGAGGGAAGTTAGTGAGCAAATTATAAGGTCTATGGGTGATTTATCTAGGCTACTAAGGGGAAAAGCAAAACCAAAAAGGAGGCAAGAAGCTGGAAGAAAATGGGGGAGATGAAGAGTATTCAGAGGAGTGTACGACTTAGGGCGGGTACAGGGTAAGAGATTTCATTAGAGCATATTGGTGGTCAGGATGTCAGTGATGGGTAAGATCAGGGTAATGAACTGCATGACTCAACCAAGGTGTGAGGGTAAGGGGTCCGGTTTGGCAGAATTCTACAGACTGAATGGTTGTGTCTCCTCCATCCCAACTCTTATGTGGAGCCTTGATCCCCACCAGGATGGTAGTGGAAGGTGGCTCCTTAAGTAAACAAGTCATGAAAATGGAGCCCTCACTGCGAGATTGTAGGAGGAGGAAGAGACCAGAGCTCCCTGTCCATCCATCCTGTGAGGGCACAGGAAGAAAATGGCCACTGCAAGCCAGGAAGAGGGTCCTCACCAGACGCTGGCTCTGTTCAACCTCGATCTTAGACTTCTGGGCCTCTACAAATGTGAGAAATAACTGTTTGTTGGTTAAGCCACGCCATGTTTGGTATTTTGGTAGAGCAGATGAGCACACTAATACAGTCCCTCTGAGACACTCAGGCACAGCCAAGATGGAGGGTAAACAGTCACATGGGTGTGGAATCAGGAGGGGTCTGTGGGACAGAGGGAAGAATCTGAACACCTGAGGCATTTAGTTAGTATTTCAGGCCATGTGAGAGCATGACCTCACCATATGAGGTACATAAAGTGACAAGGGAGAAGAGTCTGTATTGGAACCTTGAGGGACCCCAATGTTTAAAAGAGCGTTGGAGGAAAGAGGTCACCAAAGGAGATCTAGATGAGGTGGAAAGAGAGGACAAAAGTTACTAAAGAAGAGTGGTGTCAAGGAATAAGAAGGATGAATGACAAATTCTTTGACATATCAATTAAGACAGACAATAGATTCCTAGGGTCCTTACTGAGAGGGACCGAAGGTAAGACTGCAGTGGCCTGAAGAAGAATGAGATGAGCCAAAAAGGGACACGGTACTAAGATGACCCTGAATTTTGACCAGGAATGAGAATTATCTAGAGAGAAGCAATATGGTAGGTTTGACTCAGATAGGCATGGGTTCATATTTGAGCTGTGCCTCTGGTTGACCTTGGGTAACCCCCCTCTCTCCTTGAGTTCAGTTTTCTTGGCTTTCAAACAAGGATAGTAATTTCAACATTTGGTATTTTTGAGACTCTTCACCATTGCATTAATCAAGTGTCTGGCCCCTAGCTCAAAACGATGCTGGTCATGATAATAGGAGCTACAAGAGTAGTTGTAGCTATTATGAGAAAAGATTTATATTTCCTCTTTAAATTTTGTAGACTTAAGTTTAGATTTTAAAAGAGAAACAGAGAGAGAAAGATCTAAGACAGAAGAGAAGAATTTGACAGAGCAAGAAATCCAAGAAAATAAAGAAGATTGGGGAGCACCACGGGGGCTCAGTTGGTTAAGCGTCCCACTTTCTCTTGGTTTTGGATTGGCTCACGATCTCGCAGTTTGTGGGTTCAAGCCCTGAGTCGGGCTCTATGCTGATGGAGCAAAGCCTGCTTGGGATTCTTCCTCTCCCGTTCTTTCTACCCCTCCCCCAATGCTCACTCTCTCTAAAAATAAATAAACTTTATAATCATGTAACTGCTCTCCCGTTAACAACTTTCAGTGGCCACTCACAGATTTTAGGGTTAAGTGCAAACTGACATGGTGCTTTATGACCTGATCCATTGGCTTCATCTGACCCGTCTTCTTTTCTTTTTCCAAACTATGTTACATTCCTCAAGCGGACCACGGACTTTCATTCCTTTTATCCTGTATAAAATGTTTGCTTTGTTTAGAATGTTCTTGTCTTCCTTCTTTACCTGATAAAATCCTAGGTAGCCTCTAATTCTCAGGCTACATATCGCTTCCTCCCCTGACACTTGCCCTGACATTACCCGAGAACCCATATGTGTAGCTCTCATGTGTATGCAGGGGCTTTCACTATTTTTTAATGTTTATTTATTTTTGAGAGACAGAGAGAGACAGAATGCCAGTGGGGGAGGAGTGGAGAGAGAGGGAGACACAGAATCTGAGGCAGGTTTCAGGCTCCAAGCTGTCAGCACAGAGCCTGACGCAGGGCTTGAACTCATGGACGGCGAGATCATGACCTGAGCCGAAGTCGGTACTTAACCGTCTGAGCTACCCAGGCGCCCCAGGGGTTGTCGCTTTACTACCTCCATATTCTCAGATGTTAGAAGAGCCCTTGACCTATAGTAGGTGTATGATAAATGTTGAATGAATATGGTTCCAGTAGTCTGGCAACCAAATACGTGTGTGTGTGTGTGTGTGTGTGTACACATATATACGTCTCAAAAATAAGTAAATCTAAATGACAGGATTAATATTATTAATATTAAACAGTTCAGCGTTAGCAAGTGGCTCACAGCATTATGAGAAAGATAAACATTTTAACCTAAAGGCAAATGAGACAAAATATCTTAAATACCTTGAAAAGCAAAGCTCGATGGTAGAAGATTCCTTTTTTGATCTGTCCAATGGGTACAACATTGGATTTAAGTTGAAATTTTAGTTCACTTATATGAAGTTCCCAGCTGAAATCATGTAGTTTCTCCTTTGAAATTTTACCACCCATTTTCTCTGCCACATACCTGTGCCAATTACATTGAGATCAAATCAGTCAATCAAGTTTAATATCTCATTTTGGATGCTTTGAATGTAACTAGATGTATAATTGCGTGTGTAAAAACTGTATTTCCTCTGACTTTATTTGCTTGACTTTTTAAACTTACTATAAGTGGGTTAACATTATGCTTACTATATTCAAACTGCCATATATAAACCGAAACAATTTCTATTTTTTTAAATAAAGTTTATTGTAAAGTTGGTTTCCATATAACACCCAGTGCTCATCCCAACAAGTGCCCTCCTCCATGCACATCACCCACTTTCCCCTCTCCCCCACTCACTTCAACCCTTAGTTTGTTCTCAGTATTTAAGAATCTCTTATGATTTGCCTCCCTCCCTCTCCTTAACTATTTTTCCCCTTCCCCTCCCCCATGGTCCTCTCTTAAGTTTCTCTTATTCCACATATGAGTAGAAACATATGGTATCTATCCTTCTCTGCCTGACTTATTTCACTTGGCATGACACCCTTGAGTTCCATCCATGTTGCTACACATGGCCAGATTTCATTCTTTCTCATTGCCATGTAGTATTCCATGGTATAGATAAACCACATCTTCTTGATCCATTCATCTGTTGATGGACACTTAGGCTCTTTCCATGTTTTGTCTATTGTTGAGGGTGCTGCTATGAACATTGGGGTCCATGTGCCCCTATGCATCAGCACTCCTATATCCTTTGGGTAAATTCCTAGCAGTGTTATTGCTGGGTCCTAGGGGAGTTCTAGTGTTAATTTTTTGAGGAACCTCCACACTGTTTTCCAGAGGGGCTGCACCTGTTTACATTCCCACCAACAGTGTAGGAGGGGGCCTGTTTTTCCACATCCTCGCCAGCATCTGTAGTCTCCTGATTTGTTCATTTTAGCCACTCTGACCGGCGAGAGGTAGTATCTCAGTGTGGTTTTGATTTGTATTTCCCTGATGAGGAAGGACGTTGAGCATCGTGAAACTCTAACAATTTTATTCAGCATAAAGGAAGAAATGAATGCTAATCTTCCCAGTATTTATAAGAAGAAATAAATCGATATCACACTAAATTTCTTTTTTTTTTTTATTTCTAGGATAGAGAGAGACAGCGTGAACAGGGGAGGGTCAGAGAGAGAGGGAGACACAGACTCTGAAACAGGCTCCAGGCTCTGAGCAGGCAGTCAGCACAGAGCCCGACGCGGGGCTCGAGCCCACGAACCGCGAGACCATGACCCAAGCGAAAGTCGGACGCCTAACCGACTAAGCCACCCAGGCGCCCCAGTCACACTAAATTTCTATCAACACAGTTTTCAAACTTTATCTTGCCCTTGAAAAAAATTCACAAATGTTTCCATCTGAATCCCTCTGAAGGCATTGTACTAACATACACGGTCCTTCTTTTAAGGAATTTGAACTCAGAGTTAATATGAACATATTGGGAACTTTTCCATTAGATTCCCAAATATTTTCAAGTTTTATAATTTTTTCCTTTGACATTTTATTATTTTGGGTGGCTCTGTCAGTTAAGCGTCTGACTCTTGGTTTTCTGGTCAGGTCATGGTCCCTCAGTTCATGGTTTTGAGCCCCGCATCAGGCTCTGTGCACTGACTGTGCGGAGCCTGCTTGGGATTCTCTCTCTCTCCTTCTCTCTCTACCCCTGCGCTGCTCAGGCTCTCTCTCTCTCAACATAAGAAAATAAAATATATATTTTTTGATATTTTTTATTTAGAGAAAGATGGCATTTATATAGCATTAAAGTGAGAGGAAGAGAGCAGAAGGAAAATAAGTTGGGTGACGAGGCGGAACAGATATGCCTGTGGAGCTTCATTTGAGTCTCTCCCTGAAGAGGTCAGTAAACACACCTACAAAAATCCTCTGTCAACCAAGGCTACAACATCTAGGAGAAGAGGCAGAATTGCACATTTTAAGGAAGACTTTCCTCTTGCTGTACGTGGAACCAAGCAAGGAAGAACATGGGTGAAAACCAGGAGCAAGTGCTGGAGAGAAAGCTGTCACACGTCCCAGCCAGGCGTCCGTACTGTGAAGGGCGCTGGGAGCCAACAGCTCGGGGGCAAGTCTCAGCATCTCCGTCTTGGTGCAGGCTCAGGTTTAAAAAAAAAAAAAAAACCCACAATTTTTGGGAATGATGAAAAGTATTCCTGATAGGAAGAAAGCATGAAGACACTTGGCAAATGCTGACATGAGCTAAATCAGAGTTCTGCTCGAGTCATCACTTTTCAAGGACACCAGAAAACCCTCAGCAGCCAAAAAAGTTCTCTTCCAGGTCGGGCTGATGAGAAGTCAATGATCTGGCGGCTGTGATTCTTGCAGTTGTCACATCCAGGTCGGATGAGTGCAATGCACTTGAACTTGGAGAGGATACAAGCACCCGCGGAGGCTCCAGCTGTTGCAGGATCCAGTGGCTCACCTCACTGCTTGTTGGTGCCTGCCGCGGAGGCCACCCTCTGCTTGCAGTGATTCCTAACCCTCACAGCTCCCGCGTCAAGTTCTCATATTTCGCTGTGTGGACTCACATTAAATGCCCCAATTAAGAAGGCAGCGTCAGGGGCGCCTGGCTGGCTCGCTTGGTTAAGCATCTGACTTCAGCTCAGGTCATGATCTCACGGTTCAAGAGTTGGAGCCCCCCATCGGGCTCTGTGTTGATGGCTCCGAGCCTGGAGCCTGCTTCAGATTTTGTGTCTCCCTTGATCTCTGCCCCTTCCCGGCTCATGCTCTGTCTCTCTCAAAAGTAAATAAACATCAAAAAAAAAAAAAACTTTTTAAAAAGAAAAAGAAGGCGCCACTGGCATACACACAGTGTCGAGCCTGCCCAAACTGCCACCCCTTAGGATGCTCACATCCCCCCTGCAGAGCGATGTGCAGTGCAAAATATCAGATGTGGGACATAAAAATCCGTGATGGTTGTTTGTATTAGAACATAATTTGTGAGGCTACAAATAACTCACAATACGATTCCTTTAAATTGTGTGCACCCCATCTACCTACGGAGTAATTTAATTTTCACACTTTCGATTCATTCCTTAGGATCGCATTGAAGGATGCCTTCAGTGGTTTAGCTGGAGAAAATGACAAAAGCGAAAGCATTTTTCTTTAAGCAATTTCCAGCTCCTGGCTTCAATTCTTGGTGGAAATATGACCGAAAACAGAAATTGAGCATTTTTTCAATTCATTGTGTTTCTGCTTCAGAGTCCGAGGTGGGGTGCAGTTATTGTGATGGAGTTACTTGAAAGCTGGCTAAAAAAAATTCTCAGAAACTGAAAATGCGTATGAATATATAGAGACAACTAACTTACTTTGCAAGGACCTCAATCTGTTCCTTAATATTGGTTATGGGAAATATGGATTTGGTCACTTCATACACGTAAACACAGAAGTCAGGATCGAAGGGAGGGTACCATTCTTTTTCAGGGCTTCCTTCTCCCATCAATTTTGGTAATGTTGAAGCTTCTTCTTCCTCCTTCACCTTTTCCTCTTCTTTTTTCCCTCGGACTTTCCTTTGAGAGTAAACAGCAGCAATCAAAGTCACAAAATGAACAGCACTAACTGTGCTCTGAGTAATCTAAGGAACCCCACAGAAATGGATTATTTTATAGCTCAATGACCATAGCATACGTAGTTTTCAAATTTTCGATGACAATGATAGAGTTTTACAGTCTCTATATTATGTAGGAGAAATTAACTTTCAGGGTAACACTGCCTAATTGGTCCATATTATGAAAATGATACATTGGTCTGCTGTATAATTGCTTAGCAAGATGTTTGGTGCACAGTAGGTACGTAATAAGCATTTATTGAATTGGGGGAAAGATAGGCTGCTTCCTCAGGGAGGCTAAGCCAGTCTTACATCATCTCTTGCTTCAGCTGAGACCTTCTGTAAAAAGAGTTTGGATCACTATTTTTAAGAAAATAAGGAAATAAGGAAATTTTAGTATTTTCTTTTCTACCCTCTATAGTAAATGAAGACAAAAGAGAAGGTGATTAGGAATAAATGTTCAGGGGCACCTGGGTGGCTCAGTCAGTTAAGCATCCAACTCCGGCTCAGGTCATGATCTCACGGTCTGTGAGTTTGAGCCCCACGTAGGACTCTGTGCTGACAGCTCAGAGCCTGGAGCCTGCTTCGGATTCTGTGTCTCCCTCTCTCTCTCTCTCCCCCTCTCCTGTTCACAGTGTTTCTCTCTCTCTCTCTCAAAGATAAATAAACATTAAAAAATTTTTAAAAAAAGAAAAATTACCCAAAACGTGGAAAAAAGCAAAACAAAATAAGGATAGCACCGAATTTCCATGCCATGCAGGGGTGAAAACTTACCTAAAGTTAATCTAGAGAAATGTACTTAATTCTGCACTTAAGAAACCTGAAATGTACTTAATAAACAGTAAAGATACTGCTTAATTAAAATATACTCTTAATTAATAGTTTCAACCTTAGAGAATTTGCTAGCTAACATGTTTAGCAGAGATGCAAATTCTTTCTGTTAATGGAAAAGATATTGCCAGAGGTTACCGTTTATTGTCCTGCAGGAATGTTAACCAGTTTTTCAATATAATTCTTTGTGTTCCTTCACTTGGAAATGCCTTTACTTCCCCCTCTTCCTTGTTAAAGGGTAGTTTCACCAGAGAGGACACGAGGTGGATTCTTTTAGCAGTTGAAAAATTGTGCTACTTCCTTCTGGCCCAAGAGAAATGTACTGTCATTCAAACTGGGATTTCCCGATAGGAAACTAGAGCTTGAACCTTTATGAATTCTGGATCTCATGAGTCAGGTGTGCTTCCTTGGACAGGGCTACCTCAGGAGACAATTGCATCCCGTGTTATGCTAACAGAATGGGGGTGGGGGGGATGAGGAAATCGCTGTGTGACTTCTATAGTTTTTGCTTAAGTCTACTTTTTTCCTGCTATTCCTGCGTTGTATCTTTTACTATAATAAATCTTAGCCATAATTGTGTGTGTGTGTGTGTGTGTGTGTGTGTGTGTGTGTATACACATACATATACATATACACCCATCCCATAGCCAAGAAAATGGGTCCCGGGCAGGTGAATCTCCTAAACTATGTACTTGCAACTATTGAACATTTTGTTCCACTAGCAATAAATTAGAGGCAGGAATTATCCTTAAGTATTTCTCGAAGGGTGAAAGGGGGGTGGGGGGATCAACCAAAGGCCATGTGAGTTATCTCTTTAATTCATTTTGAGGAAGAAATACAAAACGTAATCTTATTAATGGCTTTTAGAGAATTACACAAAACTCTATCATCATAATAAAAACTCAATGTTTTGGATTTTCGATTTCAATACTTTATTTACTGCAGCTAAGTCGAGCCTAAGTGTGTATTATGCACTCTCCATATATTATGATAAAATCTCTAAGCAAAAATTAATATTTCCAGTTCTATCATCTAAACACTTTTCTTGGGGTGCCTGGGTGGCTCAGTTGGTGAAGCGTCCGAGTTCGGCTCAGGTCATGATCTCACGGTTTGTGGGTTCAAGCCCCACTTTGGGCTCTGTGCTGACAGCTCAGAGCCTGGAGCCTGCTTCGGATTCTGTATCTCCCTCTCTCTCTCTGCCCCTCCCCTGCTCACGCTCCCTCTCTCTCAAAAATAAATAACATTAAAAAAATTTTAAACACTTTCATTTTTTTGTAAGACAAATAAACAGAATATGTTCACACACACAGTAAGATTTTAGTACATTGGGAGCTACCACTACAAAGGTCAATTAGAATGGCCAAAAGTGTATTTAGATTTACCTGCTCCTAAAGTTACAGGGTAGCTTTATAAGATTGGACAGCTTGACTCAGAGCACCTATAACACAAAGCAGGTGTATTTCTGAGTGTGCTGCGGTGCAAGAGAGGAATCATTTGGCACGTAGCAGATGACAGCCAGCACGCAGGACTAAGCACATCGTGGAGGGCAATCCTATTGAGTGATTAAAAAGGGATAATTTACTGGAGCTCCTGAACTATAGTTCCTGCTGCTATAAATAGAAGTACTTTATTTGGACCTTTTTCCCATGAAGCCTGCCTGGTTGTGTTAATAAAAGCTTCAATACTTAAATGGATTTTCTTTCTTTCTTTTTTCTTAACATTTATTTATTTTTTAGAGACAGAACGTGAACAGGGGAGGGGCAGAGAGAGAGGGAGACACAGAATCTGAAGCAGGCTCCAGGCTCTGCGCTGACAGGCTGACAGCCACAAGCCCGACACGGGGCTCGAACCCAAGAACCGTGAGATCATGACCTGAGCTGATGTCGGACGCTTAACTGACTGAACGACCCAGGCGCCCCAAATGAATTTCATTTCTAAATCAATATGGAAACAAGTGTTCAGAAAGTACAAAATTAACTCTCGTAAAATTCATCCTTAGAAAGAACATCAATTTGAGATTAAAGGTAGCAGAACTTTTACCTTTCTTACCGAGACTTTAGCAAAACTACCTCAGAAAATGGAGATTAACTGTGGAAATCCAAAACAATAAGGATATTTTCTGTGTTCACAGGTGGATGAGAAGGTAGATAGCTACATAGAAAGAGATATTTGTCTGGCTCCAAATTGTGTATTGAAGTTTTCAAAGTTTAATCGCTCGCTCTTTTTTGACTCCATCAACTATTTAGACATATAAATTATAAAGCAAGGCTGGTGGGAGAAATGGAAGTCCTGAATTTGGCCCACATGGCATTTCAATTTAGGCAGGAAGATTTTCATATATGAAAAATGATCACAATACGAGGTAGTATTTGGTAAAATTCCACATGAGGGATAAAAATAAGAAACTCAGGATGTTCCAGAAATCTATCCCAGTTGGGCATCTTGTTCCACCCAGTCTATTCCATAAAGATGAGAAGAGAGTGTTATATAGGGTGGACACACAATGTATACCAGGTTTCGAAGTATGCATGTGTGGGTGTGGGTGTGTGTAGCTGATTTTATTTGTCAGTGTCCGACGTAGGATGTAAGTTCTGTGATAAAAAAGGTTTTTGTTCACTGCTATATCTCTAACACGGGAACAACTCCTGATACAGTAAGTGTTTGTACAATAAGATTTTGCTGAATGAATGAAAAAATTCAAGACCAGAAGATGAGAAGGTATTTAAACGTGATTAAGATGTTAAATGTGATTAAGAAACAATATCTATTTCTGAAAGTTAGTCAAGATTTGGGAGGAAGGGGAAAAAACGGCTCAACTAAGGTTAAAAAAAAGCAGTTGAGGGAAATTCTTTAAAAAATAAAAATGTTTTAGGAAGTCGTTATGATAAGGATCAAGACTGAGCAGCAGAAATGCTTAAGTATATGTTGTAAATTTCTAAAAGACTCCAGAGATGAACAGACTGGAAGGAAACAAAATAAAGACGGGAAAGCAATAAACTTTTAAGTGTGTATAATAAACTCATATACAATCAGCTTAAATATTTATGAAACCTGGTCTGAATACAAAAATACGCTACAGTTAGAGCTTAGGATACATTTACAAGTAGGTATAGTGAGTGTTTATTGTAAGGGGAATGGTCTTTATAAAGAAAAGCTCTAGAAGGCATATTGCGTTTGTCGGCTTCAGTGAAGCCTAGGAAAGCATCAAGATGGCGGCTGGATAAAGGCAAAACTAATCACCTCTCCTATGAGTGTTTTGCCTTGAAGGAGAGAACAGCTGAACCCTTCACACAGAAAAATAATATAGTTGCTGGTCACCCTGTGAGAGCCTGTTGCTTAAGGATTTTAATTTACATGGTATATGGTGACAATATTCATGAGGAGAAAGAGAGAAATCATACTTTCCCTGTCTGTGTTGGGCCACCTCACACATAACAGATTTGGTTACTTGCTGTCCCTTCTCTTCCTTTCAAGACTTTAGCCACTTTGTGGTTCTAGATGCCTCGTCATTCTTTGTCAGTATCTCTCAGTAACTGTTTGTTAACATTACACATTCTCTATGACATTATCAGATGAGTAGAGTTGAAATGTTTTACTCTATCTTCAGGGATCCAAAGTTCTAATAGGAACGAGACAAGACAGGCTTACGAAAAGATAGACAACAGGGCAACACGACTATGACCAACCTATCTCCCCAGTGGACCCAGGAATAAGGAGGGGAAAGGGACTGGACGTATATCGATCACTTAAGTATGTCAGGCAATGGTTTAGGCACTTGACAAACACTGTTTCGCATACTCTTCCAGCACCTCTACAAGGTGGGAACCATCACTTCCATTTTAGAGAAGAGAAAACCAAGGGCCAGTGTTGGCTGAATCCAGAATGTATGTTCTCATTTATGCTAATAGCCTGTTTGAATGTCAGGAGCACACCAGGGCTTATCTTTCAGTGGGGAGTAACAGGCAAGGATATGCGGAGACAGGGAGGAGACTGTAAATGGTGTGAGAAGAAATAATTACCCCCATTTGTTTATACTTATTCTCCCGGGGCATACTGCCAGGGAGTCAAACCGCTATTCCTTTCAACCATCAGCCTTCAATATTTGAAATAACTTGTGAATATTTAATCTATAAACGTATCTTTGCTGTCCCCAATGTGCCTGATCTCATTCTAGGCTCTATGACTATAAAGATGAAAAAAGCTTGGTCCCAGGTCTCGGGTAGTCCATTGCTTAGTAAGAACAACAAATAAATCAGACACCAATGAGTTCAGGTTATAGATAAGAGATTATTTGAATTCACGAAGGAGGGGACCCAAAGAGATATACCTGACCTGTGCTGACCAGGGAAGGCCTTGCAAAAACAAAATATACAGAGAGGATGAAAAAAGAGTAGGACTTGGCCATGCATACACAATCGCTGTTTGGACTTCCTCTGGAGGATGATGGGATATGGTTGTTTGCGGCAGAGTAATACGATCAGCCTTTCCCTTTGGGCAGTTAGCTCTGGGCGGTAGCACGGAGGATAGATTTATGGAGGGCTAAACAAAATGCAGGAGGTCCTTACAATAAGGAGGTTAGCATGCTGAGATATAATGCAAAGGCCTGAAGAGGGGAGGTAAAGGTGAAAATGAAGGGAAACAATGACTTAAGAGGCATTGAAGACATCTAGCACATAGGGCTGAGACTCCTTCAGGGAAGGGGAGAAAGGAGAAGAAGGACTTGAAAATGGTCCCAAGGCTTGAGCAACTGCATGGGAAGATGGAAAATTCATCAGCACTGGGAACAGAGGAGGGGAAGGAGGTTTGGGAGTTGGGGGAAACAGTGAGTTTCGTTTGGAACACGTTGTTTACAAGGCAGCAGGATAGAGAAGGCAGGGCTCAGGAGAGGGGCATGTAAATGTCAACAGTAGCTAAGACTATGGAGAGTAAGAAAGGGCGCCAATGAAGATTCCTGGAGAATGTCAATATGTAAGGGTAGGTGAGGAGATAGCAAAAGGGGCCAGAGTAGAGGGGATGTCCCCATAGAACGAGGAGACATGGATGAAATAAAGATATGAGTGTTTCCAAATAATACAGAGAAGTCTTGCTATTAAATATTGCGATGACAAATCCATGGCTGTCTGAGAATCAGCATTTTGAGATTGACAAGTACGTAAAATGACTTTCAACCCAGAAACACTGCCCATTCTCCCCACAAAAGCTTTAGAATTAAGAACCAGATGGAGCTGGAGGAAAAACAAGAGAGTGAAACAGAGCCAAAAGTAGCAGAATTGGCAAAGATTAAAGCTGACTTGGTAACAGAGACACCAGAGGGAAACGTCCACGTTGATTGATGATGATGTGTACAATATATGCGTGACCGTCACTCATCAGACAAGTGCCTACCCTCCTCTTATCAAGGGGGCAGAAGGCTGATTCTTCCCCAGGGCCATGGCTGGGTAGACCAAAGGGAGACACCTGCCTCAAAGCCAGCCAACGCTTTGTCTGGCCACTGAAGAGAAGATGGTCTCTTACAAATATGCACTTGACAGTTGTCGGGCTTCATTCAGAACTGAAAGTTTGCTTGGAATTGGAGCCAGATCTGTCCCATGGCAAGTCCAAGTCACATATGCTATGGTTGTGGGTGAGGCAGTAATCAAAAGAAAGTGAAGGAGGCTAACAAATGATCTGTAAATAAGATGCCACGCACGCGGAGAGAGGGAGAGAGAGAAAGAGAGGGAGAAAGGCAGAGAGAGCCTACAATGATGGACTTCAACCCAGCTCCTGTGCTTTTGGGGATGGTTGTGTTTCCCACATCGGACTCTGGACCTTCCTCTACATCCCTGCAAGGGTTGAGTAGATTTTGGCTCCTTGTAGCTATTTTGTACAACAATACTAATATTTGCTGAGTGTTTACTTCGTGCCAGACATTGCTCCATGGACTGTTCACGTACTGATTTATTTAATCCTCACAACACCCTATGTTACGCCCATTTTACTGATGAGGGGACGCAGGCAAAGAGAAGGCAACAATATGATCAAGACACACAGCTTATATGGGTGGGCCTTGTCAAATATAACCTTTTCCTGTAAAAGTTCAGATTTCTGTTCTCTTGAATAAGCATGAAGGCCTATTTTGCCAGCCAAGCACTTGGCTAAAGACTGGGGATGAAAAGAGAAATGACTTAAATCAGCCTACGTTCTTATTCTCAAGGAGCTCTTTGTGCAGTAGAGGTGAGGCTGAGAAGCCTAAGGAGGAAAGGAAAGACAGGAAGAGAAGGGAGGGGAGGAAAGGAGGGGAGGGCAGGGGGAGGAAGGAAGGGGAGGAGAGGGGAGGGCAAAAAGTATCAGGCCTAGATAGGAGCAGATGAGAAGCAGAGATTAGAATAATAAGCCATTGACAGAGAACGAAGTCAGAAACGGAAAATGAACAGCTCTGAGGTCCGAGGAAGACAGCAAGCCACTGTCTGCACCTTGGGGGACCTTTCGGGGTGGGGGGCAGGCAGTCCCCGATCAGAAAACGGATGCTGGACATATGTGCCAGATGGCCTCCGATACCACAATGGTTCTTAAGGGCTTAAGTCAACAATAATGAAAGGGTCATGGAGTGTGGCATTGGTCCGTGTGGGTTTTTGAGGAATCCAGGAAAGTGCTCATTAGAGAAATAATATGTTTAAAAATACGTAAATGTATAGGAAGCATGGTTAAAACATGCCAGGCCTCAAAAGGCATGAAACCACACTGTAATTGTTCCATCAAGTCGAAACGTGGTCCTATTTCCCTCTCCCCCCTCTCGCTGCTTCCTGAAGGGTCAGAGGTTTCTTTGGGTGAGCTGGATGGGGAGGGGATGTGGAAGCATAAGGCAGAGAGAGAGAGACAGAGAGACAGAGACAGAGAGAGAGGAGGCGAGAACCACACTCCATCGTGTGTGGCTCGCCACCCACAAAGGCAGCCATGAGGGAGGGCCCCGGGTTCATTTTATGTCGATCTCTACACCGGGCTGGACTTAGTAAATGACTCGGTGTGGCTACTATTCCTGTTGCCGGTTTTGAATTAAAGTGCCTGTGAGACCATATCTGATCAAAGTCACGTGAGTTCTCACCCAGAGGCAGAAGAAGAAATCGCCTCTGGTGAAGTTTTAAAGAGGTTGCCAGGGACAAAAATGAAGTTACTTTTTAATTACAGCTCCTGAGCCTCGCTTCGTCCAACACGCTAATTCCAGGGGCAAAGCTTCCTCATTTAAACCCCCCCCCCCATTCCCCTGACATGATTATAATTAGGAAGAGAACACAATAACACATTGCCTACCTTGATCCTTTTTCTTTAGTGGTGCCTTTGCTAACAGCAGTGTTTCGTCCAGAAGGAGGCTCGGATTTCTCTTCTGTGGGAGATCCAAAGCCGGTACTAAAATGATAACTATTTTTTCTTATTGTATGAAAAAAACGCATCGATTTCAATCATATGAAAATTAATAAAGTATTACATTTGCAAGGCATGGCATAAATTAGGAGGCATAAGTTCATTGCCACGACACACCTTGATTCCTCTCCCATCGTGAGACAGGGCACCAGGCATTCTTCCATCCACAGATAATAAAACAAAGCTGCTCACAGCCACTATGCTCTGGGGTCAAGGGCTCAGTGCACGTTCACAGCACACAGGATGGAAAGCCAGTCTCGCTGGCTGCTTTTTCCAGAGATGTTTTCCATGACAATTTTTTTTTTTTTTACAAATAGTTTATTGTCAAATTAGTTTCCACACAGCACTCAGTGCTCATCCCCACAAGTGCCCTCCTCCATGCCCCTCCCCCCCCCCCCCCCCCCCCCCCCCGTCCTCAGTTTTTGTCAGCATTCAAGAGTCTCTCATGGTTTGCCTCTCTCCCTTTCCCCCACCATTTCCCCCCTTCTTCTCCCCCTTGTTCCTCAGTTAAGTTCCTCCTAATCCTCCAGACGTGCAAACATATGATATTTGTCCTTCTCTGCCTGACTTATTTCGCTCAGCATAACACCCTCAAGGTCCATCCATGTTGCTACACATGGCCAGATTTCATTGTTTCTCATTGCCAAGTAGTATTCCATGGTATAGATAAACCACATCTTCTTGATCCATTCATCTGTTGATGGACACTTAGGCTCTTTCCATGTTTTAGCTATTGTGGAGAGTGCTGCTATGAACATTGGGGTACATGTGCTCCTATGCCTCAGCATTTCTGTATCCCTTGGGGAAATTCCTAGCAGTGCTATTGCTGGGTCATAGGGGAGTTCTAGTGTTAGTTTCCTGAGGAACCTCCACACTGTTTTCCAGAGGGGCTGTACCAGTTTACATTCCCACCAACAGTGCAGGAGGGTGCCCGTTTCTCCACATCCTCGCCAACATCTAGAGTTCTCTGATTTGCTCATTTTAGCCACTCTGACTGGCGTGAGGTGGTATCTCAGTGTGGTTTTGATTTGTATTTCCCTGATGAGGAGGGATGCTGAGCATCATTTCATGTGTCTGTTGGCCATCTGGATGTCCTCTTTGGAGAAGTGTCTGTTCTCCATGCCAATTTAAAACAGCAATTCCGAGGGGCGCCTGGGCAGCTCAGTCAGTTAAGCATCCGACTCTTGATTTCGGCTCAGGGCATAATCTCACAGTTCATGAGTTCAAGTCCCGCATCTGGCTCTGCGCTGACTGTGTACAGCCTCCTTGGGATTCTCGGTCTCCCTCTCTGCCCCTCCCCTGCATCCTCTCTATCTCTCTCTCTCTCAAAATTAATAAACATCAAAAAAAAATTTTTTTAAAAACTATGTTACCAAAATCTAAAATCTAATCTTTTTTTTTTTTTTTTACTTCCACATTAAGGGTAGGATTCTTTAAGTCCAGACAAAATATAATTTTCTTACTTGCTCTTTTCTTTGCTTGCTCTTCTTAAAGAAGATGAAGAAGAAATACTCCGTCCATAACCAACATCTGATGATTTATCTTCTGTAGATGGAGGTGGAGAACTAAAATTTTACATATTTGAAATTACACACGAGTTAAAATACTTGACTTGTCAATATTGGATCTGTCCTACAAAAGACAGATTTTTGGGGGGGTGGGAATCATATTTGGAGCTGATTTTAAAAGTGACATAATAAATGCATAAAAGTAAGACAAAGCATATTATAAAGTTTTTCATGAACTGGAACAGGAAATATTTTTATAAAATGTGCTCCGTAAAATATATAGATATATATTTGGTCATATATATATATATGTATATAATGGTCACATATATATGAACATTTTTTAAAATTCTGAAGCTTTCATCTTTAGCTTTACTATTAATTTCTTATTTTATATTTTTAAAAAGCCCTGGGCAGCACTTAGAGTCCCGCATACAGTTCTGGATCCCGGTGAACACGATTGGTTTTGGTGTGCTCCGATCTATTTATACTTCCTTCAATTAACTTCATGTTACCAGGAGGGTAATAAGCACTGACTACAGTAACACATCTGGAATTGAGTGGTAATGGGGAGTCAATGGGAAAACCACATTGGTGGTGATTTCATGGTCTTTACTATGTCAGGCTACGAGTTTACGGACCGGTGTCTATTTTCAGGGAGGCGTTAAATACAGGGGACAAAAAGATGCTGTCCTGGGAATCTTGATATAGTCATGTGATGATGAGCAAACAAAAACCATTGTGTGCTTCCCTGTATCCCCCCCCCCGCCCCCCTACCTCCTGCCCCTCCCACCAAGAGACTCACACATCAGAAGATTTACTGTTAACTAAGAGCACAGCACGCTGATCACTGGGTTCTTGTAAGCAGAGATCCTTCAAAGGCAAAAGTTTGGTGCCAGGATTTATCTGTAGATAATTTAAGAACTAAAAAGTAATATCCGCATGGGTTGTATATGTTTTAAATGAATACTGATGTTCCCAACTGGTTGAAGTCCATAATTTTACACACACATAGACATAGTTAGACATAGGAACCTGAACTTCTAGACATCTTGCCTTTGGGTAGGGTCTAGTCCTCCAGTTCCCCACAACCCCTCTGCTTTATACTCAGCTGTTTCACACCATAATTATCTGTTTGGCCCCTGAAAGTAGCTGAGTTTGCAAATCGCTCTGTATACATGAGGGAGAATTTGTTGTCTGTCAGAGTAACGAATTATGAAAGAGATGACTAAAAATGTTGTGAAGATATCTAAAAATAGGCTACACCAAGTCCTATATCAGCAATTTTACCAGCAGGTTAGACCATACCATCTTCTGAGGTCTTTTTCCAATCATATTATAGTTATATCCCTCTCTCACCCAAGACACTTTTCAGGATCCTTTAAAACTCAGATCATGGGGCACCTGGGTGGCTCATTTGGTTAAGTGTCCAACCTCAGCTCAGGTCATGAGCTTGCAGTTCATGAGTTAGAGCCTGGCATTGGGCTTTGTGCTGACAGCTCAGAGCCTGGAACTTGCTTCAGATTCTTTGTCTCACTCTCTCTCTGCCCCTCCCCTGCTCACACTCTGTCTCTCTCTCTCTGTCTCAAACAAAAACATTAAACAAAAAAATAATAATCAGACAGATCATGTCATTTTTCTGCCCAGAACTCTGTCTGCCAAGTTTTCCCACTTCATTCAAAGTAAAAGCCAAAACCCTTCTAATGGTCTACACGACTCACTTGATCTGGTCTCTCTGTATCTCTCTGATTTAGTTCTTACTATTCTGCCCCTTGGTTCACTCAGCTCCAGCTATAACTGACCTTGGCTATTTCTTAAATATGCCAAGCCTGTTTATACCTTATGGCTTCTGTCCAAGCCGATTCCTCTGCCTGGAAAGCTCTTTCCCAAGCCATCTCCATGGCTAAATCCCTCACCTTCTAGTCTTTGCTCACATATGACCTTCCCTATGAGGCTTACCCGACCACCATTTCTAAAATCACAAATACCAACCCCAGTAACCCCCAGCACTAGAAAGCCCCTTTATCTTGTGTCTGCTCTATTTTCCCCCCAAAGCTCTGCTCATTTTGATCATGGTATATAATTTATTTATTTGTCATGCTGCCGGCTTACTGTCTGTTTCCTCTATGGAAGTAGAGGTCTATGTCTCTCTTATTCACTGACCTCACCCAACCTACAATATGAGAAAATATTTCCTGAATGAATGAATCAGAGAATTCTCCTTGATAAAAAATACTGTTTCATTAAGTTTTTTTTAAAACTCGTGAGCAGATACATTTTGTCACACTTTTATCTGTTTCATGGCAACATTTTCCTGATAAGTGTTCTTTGTTGGTTTTTCTGCCCTTTTCCTCATTTTTCTCAATGCATCTTTGTGCTAATAATGTTGTGCCAGTTCTTTTTGAATTATGATTCACTGAATGAGATGGGCTTTATCGGAGCAGTGGTTTCTCAGTGGTGTGTGTGTGTGTGTGTGTGTGTGTGTGTGTGTTATGATGGGCATGGTGGCGGTGGCAGCCAGGGAAATCAGGAGTCAAGTTTAAGGCTGGCCATTTTTCATTATTCAAAACGTCTCTTAGGGGCGCCTGGCTGGCTCAGCCAGTAAAGCATGTGACTCTTTATCTCAGGGTCATGAGTTAGAGCCCCACAGTGTAGAGATTACTTTAAAATTAGGGGTGCCTGAGTGGCTTGGTTGGTTGAGCATCCGATGCTTGGTTTCAGCTCAGGTTATGATCTCATGGTTCATGAGTTCAAGCCCTGTGTCTGGCTCTGCGAAGGCAGCATGGAGCCTGCTAGGGATTCTCTCTCTCTCTCCCCTCTCTCTCTGCCTTTAGCCTGCTTGTGCTTTCTCTCAAATGAACTTAAAAAAATTAAAAATTAAATAAAATATAAAATGAAATGAAATGAAATGAAATACAACTGACTCTTGATGTCTGTTCAGGTTGTGAACTCATGGTTCCTGAGTTCAAGCCCCACATCAGGCTCTGTGCTGATGGGATTCTCTCCCTCCTTCTCTGTGCTCCTCCTCTGCTTGTCCCCCCTTGCCTCAAAATAAATAAATAAACTTTTAAAAAGTTTTTTAATAAATTAAAATAAAATTTTAAAAATGTTCGCACGATAGAGTGTTTCCTGCAAATATGGTGCAGCTATGTGGTTCTTTCATGGCCCTGTCTGCTCTGCCCTTTTGAACCAAGTTGAGCCGAGAAGGCTTCTGCTGCGAGCCTTGCTCACCCAGGCCCTCTTTCTGCACCCGCCCGGCAAACAGAGCATTCGGCTTGTGCGCCCGTGAGCGCTCCCGTCACCTGAGGCCGTGTAGAGTTCTGAGGGCACTTTCTGAGACCGGCCACCACAAGCTCCCTTGTCTCTCTCTGCGCTTAATTCGTGCCCCTTTTCATTCTTTCTCCTGCACCCCGTGGGCTTGATCTCAGGGAATTTCAGTAACTCCTTTTTTTTTTTTAAATTTTAGAGAGAAAGAGAGACTGTGAGAGCACATGGGCAAGGGAGGAGGGCAGGGGGAGAGAGAGAGAATCCAAGCAGGTTCCACACTCTGTGTGGAGCCTGACGCGGGGCTCAATCCCACCATGCGTGACCTGAGGAAATCGACAGTCCGACGCTCAACTGACTGAGCCACCTCGGTGCCACCTTACGTGTTTTTGTTTTTTGTTGTTTGTTTTTTTTTTGGAGTCCATGGATCATCTCTGTTTCCTAGGTTTGCTTAAATGGCATTTGTAGATTTAAAAAACTTCCCCTGCTTGAGGAGCCTGGGTGGCTCAGTCGGTTAAGGTTAAACGTCCGACTTCAACTCAGGTCATGATCTTGCAGTTTGTGGGTTCAAGCTCCGCATCGGGTTCTGTACTGACTTCTGACAGCTCGGAGCCTGGAGCCTGATTCAGTTTCTGTGGCTCCCTCTCTCTCTGCCCCTCCCTCGCTCACACTCTGTCTCTTTCTCAAAAATAAATAAACGTTAAAATTTCTTTTTTAAATTTCCCCTGTTCCCCTTATTGCTTTTGGTTTCCAGAAGAAAGGAAAATGCTAACTTAAGCAGCAATGCCAAAAAGTCCTCAAGATTCTGATTTTCAGCTTCCCATTTCTCTTGACATCAACACTGAATTACACTGTATATTGTTTTTAAAATCATAATCAGAAATGCAGCTTCAATAGCGTTTTTCTATATTACATTTTAAAATCTGGTATTATAATTTGGTTAATTTCAATTAGATTATGATTAATAAAATAAAGGGCGCCTGAGCGGCTCAGTCGGTTAAGCGTCGGACTTCGGCTCAGGTCATGGTCTCGCAGTCTCTGAGTTTGAACCCCACCTCGGGCTCTGTGCTGACAGCTGGGAGCCCAGAGCCTGCTTCGGATTCTGTCTCCCTCTCTCTGCCCATCCCCCATTCACACTCTGTCTCTCTAAGTCTCTCAAAAATGAATAAGTGTTAAAATAAATAAATAAATAAAACAAAAACACTTATATTTCTATCATTATTGCTAAGCTGAGCCCTGGAAATAATAAAAACCACAAACACAAAGTGCTTCTTCTTTTATACTTTCTCTGAAACTTGAGAGAGAGTAGCATTAGCTAGCTGATTCCATAACAGACAAGCAGATTCTAGGTAAAACTGTACATAAATGCAAAATCTTATAGCCAGTTAAGAGTAAAGCTCTGATTCCCAGGTTTCTGTCTATAAAAATATACATTCTGCTAGGTGGTTATAAAATTGCAATGTAACGGCATCGTGACTACAGAAATGATTGCTCATACGAAAATACAAATTAGTGCTGTCACTTACCCGACCGTAATCATAGAATCCATCACTAATTATGTTACTCGAAGACAAATAGCCAGTCACGCTATATTTCAGAGATAGGTTATTGTTGAGCAATTTGTTATAAGCCATCTCACTGAATTTATTTTTCCGACTTACTGATAGATTAACTTCTTCAAGGATATCTAAAGCCCTGTCAATAAAAGAAAAAAAAAGCATTATTTGCTTTAAACAAGCAATCTGATGTTAAATTCCCATTTATATATGTAGTTAAGACCCTGAGTGAAGAATTGAGATGGGAAAGTTAAAGACATCTCACCCTTTTATTTATTTACTTACTAATGTTTATTCACTTTTACGAGAGACCAAGCACGGGTGGGGGAAGGGCAGAGAGAGAGGGAGACACAGAATCTGAAGCAGGCTACAGGCTTTGCGCTGCCAACACAGAGCCTTCTGTGGGTCTCGAACCTGTGGACCATGACATCATGACCTGAGCTGAAGTCTGACACTTAACCAACTGAGCCACTCAGGTGCCCCAACATCTTGCCCTTTTAGATAAAGTAATACAGAATTAGGAAGATGAATCAGTCCTTTTTGAGAATATATATGCCATGTGTGCCTTATATTCAAACAGTTGAAAAGGATACTTTGAAAGAGAAAAGAGGTATTTATTTAAAGCAAAACTAGTATTGGACTCCCCACTTTTCGCTAACCAGGCAATATATATGAAAACGAAGATGGTAAGGGGGAACCTGGCTGGCTCAGCCCGTGGGTGATCCTTTTTTTCTTTTTTTTAATGTTTTTAATTTATTTCTGAGAGAGAGAGAGCAAGAGCAAGGGAGGGTCAGAGAGAGAGAGGAAGACACAGAATCCGAAACAGGCTCCAGGCTCTGAGCTAGCTGTCAGCACAGAGCCTGATGTGGGGCTCAAACTCACAAACCGTGAGATCATGACCTGAGCCGAAGTCGGACACCCAACTAACTGAGCCACCCAGGTGCCCCAGTCCGTGAGTGATTCTTGATCTCAGGATTGTAAGTTTGACCCCCACATTGGATGTAGATACTATGTAAAAATAATTTTTTTTCAAAAATAAAAAATAAAAATAAAGATGGGTAGAAGTAGGGCAAACCTATCAGCGGAACCTTATAAGGCAAGTGGCTCGTGTGCTATTGATGCAAGAACTGCTTTGGTGAGGCTGGTTAAATGCGGAATTCTGAAAGAAAGGTCTGGATGAAGGAGGGAGAAAAAGGAGACGTAGTCACGGCTCACGCATTTTATTTTAGCTTCCAAAGTGGAGAGACAGGAGCACCTGGGCAGCTCAGTTCACCAAGAAAGGGATTCTTGGTTTGGTCTTAAGTCATGATCTCACAGGTTGGTGAGTTCAAGGCCAGCGTCAGGCACCACACTGATAGTGAGGAGCCGGCTTGGGATCCTCTCTCTCCCACTTTCTCAAAATAAAGAAATAAACGTAAAAACAAAAACGGGAAAAGGTAAAAAGTAGAGAGGCAGAGTTGTTGTTTCACAATTGCAGAGTGAAGTGAAAGGTGTTGATCAGGATGAAACGTGGACAGAGAGACAGTGAAGATGGCTTCGTGGTGGTGGGGAGGGGCATCTCCAGGTGGGAGGAGCCCAGATGTCCCTGCTCCGACTGGGCGGTCCCTTCTAGCGGAAAGGTCCCTGTGCCTGGCCCAGCTCCCCAGGGCCCTGCTGCCTGCGAGCAGGTGTGTGGCCTCTGCCTGACCTTCCTTGGGCCTGAAGAGTGTGCTCTCTCATCCTCTGCTCCTCCTCTGAGCCAGAAACCCTGGGCAGCTCCACTCACCCAAGCTTGCATAATTCAACAGCCATGAGCTCGTCGTTGGCGCACACCATCACGGCCCAGCTGGCGTGCCTTCTTACTTCTTCGTTCTTCGAGCGCAGGAGCTCGACCAGCGGCTCCAGGCCCCCTGAATTTCTTAACTAAAAGTAGAAACTGAAAGTTACACGTTGGGAGTACACAATATAAACATTCATTTTTTAAAAATTCCTCACTTGGTGGTTAAAAGGTGTTAATGATGTGAGAGCATTTTGGGATCTGTGCGTAACTGGTATTTTCACATCTGGGGTGGGGCCTCCTCATAGACAGGAGCCCAGGTTTATGTTCAAGGTCAAGAGGAGGCCACAGTGAAATAATCGAGAACAGTCGTCCTGATTCAGGTGGGCTGGAGACTGGGCGGAGAGCCTATCATCTCCTGTTCTACCTTCACTCATTCTGTTCATCAACCTGAATGTTCGTTTGGCGCTGGGGTAGGCAGAATGATGGTCACCCAAAGGTGTCCTTTTCCCTGGAAGGGAATTTGCAGATGTGATAAGCTAACAATTTTGAGATGGGGAGATTGCCTTGGATAAACAGGTGGGCCCAATTTAATTACAAGGGTCCTTATAAGATGAAGAGAAGGGTGCCTGGAGACGAGAAAGGAGGTGTGTAGAAGCAGAGATTGGAGTAATACCCTTTGAAGGTGGAGGAAGGGGCAATAGCCAAGGGATGGAGGTGGGTGGTAAATACTAGAAAGGGCCGGGAAACAGATTTCCCCCCAAACTCTCCCAAAGGAACATACCTCTGCTAACATCTTGGTTTTAGCCCTTGAAACCTGTTTTCAGCTTCTTATCTCCTAAACTATAAGATAGTAGATTTATATTACTACTACTAGGCCACTACATTGTGGTATTTTGTTACAGCAGCAAGAGGAAACTAATACAGTCCCTACAGCTGGGCAGGAGGAGCCGACTCCCATCAGATCATCAGTGTGGCCAAACCAACACTGTAGCAATTCCCTAGAAAAAGACCAATTTTTATTATCACTGCACAGCATCTTCTCTTCAACTTTCCAAGGACTAAAAAAGGGCCAAAAAGAATAGAAGAAACTTGGGCAGAACTACATTAATCATATTACTAAAAGAAATTCAGGTGACAAAGGGTATTACTCTTGTATAAAATTATTCCAATCAGGAAATAAAAAAAGATTTGACAAAGCTCTTATCTACTGTCTGATATGCAATATTGTATTATCTGAGCCTAAAGGCCACAAAAAAGAATATTCTATCAGTTTCTATGTGCAGTATCTGAAGATGAGAGCTCTTGTGGGATAAGATCTACTTGATTCAGTCATTTTAGGTCAGGGTCCAGTGATCGTTTCTTCTCAGAGATTATACTTTCGCACGTGCAACATGCGCAGCTTAGAAAAGTTTACCTGAAGCATCTCTTGCAAGCCAAATTTCAGAACATCTTTATTTCTGAGTTTAATACATGATGGTCTAAGTCCATGTGTTCTTTTGGCAAAGATCTCGTTCATCTATGAATTCCTACATTCATTTACTCATTCATTCAACAACTGCTTATAAAGCATGCACTGTGTCAGATATATAGATATATATTATTGACATGGACACAGGAAGAAAAACTCTTCAGTTCCCTTCCCTATAGCCTCGAGGAGCTTATAGTCTTTCACACAGGAACCATATATGAGAAACAGACAAGGGAAGCATGCACAGGGTATAACGGGAGCAATAGCAGAGGGCACTGCCAAGTTTGAGCAGACAGGACGGCTGAGATGGCATGAGGCGCAGGTGGGTAGGTGCAGGTCAGTAAGAGCCATTGCCGATCACATGAAGCAGCTGAACTTTTCCCCCGGGGCAGGGAGCAGTGCACAGACCAGGGACTTGCACTGAGGCAATGAGGGTCACATATTTGAAAGATCGGTCTGGAGGCAGTGTGAGAAGCAGGAGGTGGGGGGGGGGGTGGAGGCAGGGGCGGTGGTGGGTGGTGGAGAGAGCAGTAGTCTGATCGGCGGTATTCCAGGAAATGGATGGACTATTCTGCAGACCGCGTGGAGGTGAGACCAAAATGCTTTTATCCTTCTGTTGCCGAAGCCTAGCATAGTCTCTGGCCCATAGTAAATGTAGAATAAATATTTAGGAATCTTAGTGCCTTAATGGATGAAAACAAATGAACCGAATCGACGGGAACAAAGAAGCAGGATAGAATAGATACCTAAGCGGCCGATGAGAAAATAGTTGTTAGTTGTCTGAGCAGAGAGCACAGCGCAGCACCTCAGGCTCTAGATGGCATCCCTGATCTTCCAACTTACCCACTCTGCTTTGAGCACACTATGTCTTTAAGCCTTGTTTTCCACATCTGTAAAATGGGGGTTACAAACCAGCCCATCACGAGGGAGGCTTAAATGCTTGTCAAGTGTTGAGCATAGCACTCACTTCATAGTAAGTGTTAGCTGTTGCTATTTATACTGGCGGGAGAGGAACGGAGTCTTACGCTGTTTTGATGAGTGCCACGTGACAAGTAAATATGGGAAAAGCAAGAGAAAAATAGACATGATACACTTGTAAAAAATGAAATTCTAGGTTTTAAAACTCTGAAACATATAAAAAACACGAGAGTGTGGAATCCATATGTATGACATAAAGCATCAGAGTGTCTAACACTCAGCTTAAGAAATGACACATTTAAATGACCTTGAACCCCTGTTTGCTCCTCTCAAGTACATCCACTCCCTTGATCCCCCAAGAGGATTTCTTGAATTTGGGGTTAATCATTCTCTAGCTTGTTTTTATAGTTTTACTTTATGTGTCTGTTTATCTAAACAATGTATTGCTTAGGTTTGCATATTTCCAAATGTACGGAAATGGAATCCAAAGTATGTATTCTTCTGCAATTTGGTTTTGCTCAGCATTATCCTTGAGATTCATCCCTGCTGCTGTCTGTAACCATAGTTCATTCATGTTCACTGGTGTGAAATTCCATTTTGTGAATATACCACAAACTGATTCACCCATTCTCTTAAAAACTGGACAATTGGTGTGTGTCCAGTTGTTAGACGTTATACACAATGCCTCCTGGGGCACAGAGGCAAGAGACTGGCTTAGGTATAACTTGGAGAGACTGCCAGATTATAGGTTGTGCTCTCCTTTGCTAGATGGTGCCAATTGATTCTCCAAAGTATGGCCCTGACTTCATGGATTTCATTTGTTGCAGAGTAATTTCAGGTTCACTGCAAAATCGAGCCGCGGGACAGGGATTTCCTTTACTCCCCGCCCCCACACGTGCCGATTTCCCATTATCAAGTCCCCCGCCGGATCGGTACATTTGTTACAAGTAGTGAACGTAACACAGACACGTTATTATCACCCAGAGTCCATGGCTGACGTGTTGCGGGGCCAGTGTTGAAGGACCTAAACGACGGGTAGGTTCAAACACTTGAAAATGTTTCAGAAGCATCCACCGATCGGTAGGGACCGGAAGCGGGAGGGAATGAAGGTTAGTAAAGCTCTCACCTCGGTCCGGGCCTCCACATCGCACGCAGTTGCCGCAACGGTGAGCGCCGCCTTGCTCTGCACCACGGTGTTCGCGGAGCGCAGGGGCCCGATGAGGGCGCGCACGACGTCGTGGTTCTGGATGTTCACGCGCAGCGGCTCCTGCATTGCCAAGTTCGCCAGCACCGTAGCAGCGTTGGCGACCGCGCCGTCTCGTGTGCTGGACAGGATGTTTATTAAAGGGTCGACACCGTCGGCTTCAGCAACAGCGCTGGGGGAATGGAAGCGAATGTCATTCGTCCGAGTTCAAGACATCGTCTTTGGCGTGTACAACTGAACTCATTCCACAAATGGCTACATAAATACAGTCTTAGAAAGAAACGAATTTATGCTGCGATGAACCCGGAATTGGGGTGCTGGGGATTTAAATGGAGTCTGGGAAGATGCCAGTTAAGAAAGAATTTAAATAACCCTTTTCCTACTTTTACAGCATGATAGAAAAATGCATACCTACTTCTTAGAAAACCTCCTCCAAATGTTAATTTTTTAATTCAGTGATACTTGTAAGATCAGGAAATTCTATTCAGGGAACGTCGATCAAGATATTCCCATCCAGTAGGAAAACAAAGCTTTTAATTTTTAATTTTTTAAATGTTCATCGATCTTTGAGAGAGAGAGAGATACAGAGTGTGAGTGGTCAAGGGGCAGAGAGAGAGACACACACAGAATCTGAAGCAGGCTCCAGGCTCTGAGCTGTCAGCACAGAGCCGGACCTGGGGCTCGAACTGACAAAGCCCAAGATCATGACCTGAGCCAAAGTGGGATGCTCAACCTACTGAGTCACGCATGCACCCTGCAAAGTCTTTAAATAGTAAAATGAGGGGTGCCTCGTGGCTCAGTTGGTTGAGCATCCGACTTCAGCTCAGGTCATGATCTCACGGTTCAGGGGTTAAAGTCCCCCGGTCCAGCTCTGTGCTGACAGCTCAGTGCCTGGAGCCTGCTTCAGATTCTGTGTCTCCTTCTTTCTCTACCCCTACCCCACTCGTGCTCTGTCTCTCTCTGTCTCAAAAATAAACTATAAAGCAACGTTTTAAAATAGTAGGAATGAGTGTGGAGTGGGGGTGCTCATCTTCCCCCTTTTTAAATGAGGCTGCTAATTGTGGGCAGAGGTTAACACATTGGGAGCCAGCAAAACATTTTGGAGGTGAATGTTGCTTTTACAAATTAAACATCAAAGATCAAAGTCATACTGCTGACATGATAACTACTAGCTACTGTTAGTCATGTAGGCATAATCAGTTGGTAAATTTCCTATTTCTGCTATAAAAAGTCCACAGTCATCCATAAAGATATTAATAGTCTCACAAGTAATAAGCCTATACCTCCTTTTAAGAATGCAATCTTTTCTATAGTTCTTGCTTCCTAATTAAAAAGCTCACAAAGTAGTGAAAATAAAAAAAGAAATCATTTTAACAGTGGAAAATGATTTAATTATGCTCCTTAATATTTGGAATTGCTTCAGATGAGAGATGTTCCAAACAATAAGACATACAGAGCATCCTAGTTTCAAAGGAAGACCCCAAATTCTTGTGAAAAATCCATTTACATCATTATGGAAATAGAGGGAATCAAGGCAACAAAAATATACCTGAGACTCCAATAATATGAACATCTCTTTCAGGTTTATATTTGACACATTTTTTTTTCACTTAGGAGCATATTAAGAACCAAAAGTGGAGAAAAAAAAAAAGTGAGGCTATATGATTCAGCCCATCACCCTGTATTCTGATGAATTAAATTTGATTTGGTGGTCACTTAAATTTGCTGATTGTGAAGGAGAAGTGAAACCTCAAGGATAGAAGTTATCTGGGCACCTGCGTGGCTCAGTCAGTAAAGCGTCCCACTCTTGGTTTTGGCTCAGGTCATGATCTCACAGTTCGTGAGTTCGAGCCCTGCATCAGGCTCTGTGCTGACAGGGTGGATCCCCCCCACCTCTCTCTCTCTCTCTGCCCCTCCCCAGCTTGCTCTTCCTCTCTCCACCAAAAAATAAGTATAAAAAAAATTTTTTTTAAAAAGAATAGAAGTCATCACAATTGCCCAAGAGAGTACAGAATGTGAATGAAATCTCACTGAGGAGAAAAGAAGCTGTGTTTGTCACACAGACCCGCTCGGAGGTGGACTGATCTGACAGTAACTCGGGAACTGAGGCTCCGGAGAATGCCGGGCCGGCTGGTACTAACCCTCAAAGCACCTCCCACCCCTGGTATGAATAAATCTGTCCAGGAAACACACCATATTTATACAAAGGCAAAGTCAGAGTCTGGTTCCATTCGTACCCATACTCTAGTCCTCGGTACATATTTAATCCTTCCTGTGGTGTCTCCCCTTCTTTTTTTGGGAAGGCATCCCTTTATAATTTGGTTGGATGACAGGTAACCAAAATGTGTTTATATAAAAATACTGGTAGGAAGGGCCTGCATCTCACTATGGTATTGCTCGAGGGCCAGCATTTGCTTTCCCTTCCCAGGAGATTAAAATAAGATTAAAAATCTTACTTTTACTTTTAATTCTCTCTCCACTATTAATCAAATGGTAGTCGTTTGATTTTATGAATCAGGAAAACTTTGAGGGCTCTAATCGTTTATCAGAAAACTTCTCCTATTTTTACTTAGAGTTGAAATATTGAGTTTTTAAAAATGCCAGCAAGCATTTGAAACTATGCCTATTTTCTAATCATTATAGACGTAAACCTGTTCAAAACTCAATTTGTTTCTCTGACTTGTTTTCCAGGCACTTAATGCGATCAGTCCCTTCAGCCTAAACACTCTGTAGTTTTTAATCATTGCAAACTATGCCTTGGTGAGAATGCACAATTCCTTTGTCACGTAGTGATTTTTTTCCTTTGATGGGAATCGCCTTTTAAAACATCCCGGAGAATAATGGAGGAGCAGACAGTGGAGGCATTTCAACGGCGGCAACTGTGACAGAAAGTACCAGTATTTTAGGTAAACACATCCCTGTTGATTCTCAAGGGCTTTGTCTTTTGTATGTATCAGGGGTTTTCTGGAAAATTTAAGTAAATACGTAGGATCACACTCCATCATTTCGATTTCTCTTATTAAAAAAACAAAAACAAAAAAAACCACGGGCTATGAGATGCAGGAATTCTCATCAGATGTGCCTCTGCCCACAGCTTTTGTGTTTCATTGTGGCTTCTTCCTCTCCTGGACAAAGGCATATTTTGCCTTGGTTCCTTTATATCTCTACCTTCTGCTCTTTTCTGTAGTCTTTATGAGCCAGTAAAGAGAAGTACATAAAATCCAAGCTGTTTAAGAAACCGAAGATTCTGGTACACAGTGGAATAGAGCTTTTACTAAATAGAATATAACTGCCAGCACCGAAAAACAAATCGTAGGCGTGCAGCGGGAGGAACTACCTGCCTATAATGTGCCGTCTGCACTCTGTGCAAGTGTAAAAAGCATAACTGAGATTAAATTATTATGGTGAAAAAAAAAACAAGCTTATTATTCTTACCTGAAAAAAAAAATCCTTAATTTCATTTATAGGAATAGAGCACAGAATTTATACTTTAAAAAAAAAAAAAAGAATGGCATTAATTCTGTGATTCAGACCCAAGACATTCTGTTTTATTTTTTGCTGTGTCTAATTTGTACACAAGCTGAAGCCTGTCATATCTTAAAAACACATTTCAGTTTCCTAGATAGTCTGTAGTATTCTCCAAATGAACAGGACGGAAGTCAAACTGCTTTGTTACAAAATCCAGAATTATGGGGCCATATGTCGTCATGATAATCCGAAAATATTTTGATTCTTACTATCATTAACCTCTATCAGTTGGAATTTCATCAAGTAAGAGTTTAAAATATACATTAAAAAAAATAACTAAAACCCAAAAATGGGAATGTATGAAAACATCTGTTTATGTCATTTGATATATGTAAATAGAAGTGAAGTTCGACACATCATGTGTATCCAATTTATTACCAAGTCCTGACTAGTTTCCTCCCTCATATTTCTCGAACCTCTCTCTTTTCTCCAGCTCCGTCCCTCCAATTGAATCCACCTCCTCTCTTCTAACCGGTCTCTCCTCTCCCCCTCCAATCCTTTCTCCAATTTACAGGTAAAGTGATGTTTTAAAATAATAATCCAGGGCACCTGGGTGGCTTGGTCAGCTGAGCGACCGACTTTGACTCAGGTCATGATCTCACAGTTCCTGGGTTCGAGCCCCATGGGATCACTGCTATCAGCACTGAGCCTGCTTCGAATCCTCTGCGCCCCTTTCTTTCTGCCCCTCCCCCACTCGTGCTGTCTAAAAAATGAATAAACATTAAAAAATAAAGAATCAGATTATTATAATTATATATAGTGATATATAGAATACATAGAATCAGAATCAAATTGTAATAATTATATATACAGTGATATGTAAATATAATACATACAATCAGATTTCGCCCCTACTTCTTTTAACTGGTTTCCCGTTGCTCGGGATGGAGCCCTAAATTTCTCACTTGGGCTCCAAGGCCCTTGCAGGAGCCACCGTGCCTCCCCCACGGCTGCAGGGGGCCTCTCACCTCTTCCCGTGGCTCTGTGCTCTGGACCTCTCTGGCCACCCACAGCACGCCACCACCGCCACCGGGCTCTGTCTCCCCAGCTGGTGTTCCAGAACGCCGTCCTGACTTCCTGACAAACTCTTCCCCCGGAAAATTCCTATCTGCCTTGCCAAGTGCAGCACAAATGCCTCTTCCTCTGGGAAGCATAACCCCCAATTAGATCAGGGCTCCTTTCCACATAGGCTCAAGATCATTTGTTTGCTAAGCATACATACATTTTTAAAAAATGATGTTTTGGCATAAATGGCCACACAGGACTAACAATCTTGAAATACTATTTTATAGAAGCTTGTTGAGGGAATGAGCTTAGCGCAGAGTTTTTCGTTTAAATCCTGGGGCCCCGCGATGAAAAAGCACTTACGGGCAAGGGCATTAAGAACATTGCTAAAGAAAAGTACGACTCCGCACCAATAAGCATCTATTTATGGCTCCCTGAAAATACTATGCTATCTCATGTCTGTGTGTCTTTGCACTCATGTTTTCTCTGCCCCAAAAAGGCCGGTCCCTACCCCTCCACACCTCTGCCTGGGGGCTGCAGTTCACCCTTCAAAGCCTACTCAGCTGTCCCTTCCACACAGAGTCGTTCTTGTCCGTCTCTGCCTCCCTTTGTTATTCACTCCCCTATGTCTACACCTGG